GTGTGCTGGATGGGATCGGGATGGGGATAGTGGGATAGTGGATGGTGGAGCTGTGTGAATTGTGGCATACCCGTGAACGTGGACCCCTCCTGAATGACTAACTAACCCAAAGACAGACGCGGAGCCAAGCCCATCTGCAGACTGGCCAACAAATAGGCGCACCTTTCCTTCCACTCTAGACGCTATCAAAGATCTTGTTTTCTCAGAGAAAAAATGTGGAGCTTGGAATCCAAATAAGGAAAACTTCTTTTTCAAAAAAAGATAATATTAATTATAAAGGATTTTGAAGTTATTCATATTTTACTTCTACAATATATGTTTATATATATTTTTATATTTCTGATTTCCTAAACAAATTTTCTGACAGTGTACATAGGCATATGGTCCAGAATAACCACTAAGGAGGAGGTGAAAACTTTGGCAAATGGGTGGGCGTGCAGTTGCCTGTCAGCTATGGCCAGCCTGTTGTATATCAAATGAGTTTGTAAATGCTGGATGGCCAAGCTGCAGCTATCTATCTATCAGATGCACTTGAATTATGTTGTTCGAGGTGTAAATTAGGTTTTAAATTAACTACGTTGTTTGGGGAGAGATTTAGTTTAAGCAGACATTGAGAGGAGTTTGGAAAACTTGAACAAGTTCGTTCCACATTACTTTTAGAACTAGTTTAACTCTCAGATAATTCGAATGTATTTGGGGTTTTATTGATAGCTATTTATCTATTTCCTTTTCTGATTAACCATTTAGTAATGGTATTTTACCCATAATAATACCTTAAAAATAAGTAATTGTGTCTTTTGCAAATATAATGGTTAACTTATTATATGTTTAAAAATATTCAACATCTTTCCCCAAAACTAAAATTCTATAAACTGGTTATTTTATACATATTATATTTGATAAAATTCCCAAAATGTAAAATGCCCTAATTGAGTATTGGAATAAACAGGTTATTCGTTCACCAACTTGTTTGTTTACCCTTTTTCTCTACACATTTCCTTCTCTGGCCACATCTGTTTAATCTATCTGTAAACTCTTGTGGCTTTCAGCCACTCAGTTTTATCGTCAGCCACCGCTTAGCCATGAATGAACTTCTGGCACAACAATTTGCTCTGCTGCTCGGCCAGCACTTGACTCGCCTTGGCATAACATAACTTTGGGACCCGTTGTCCCAGTCCCTCCTCGGACTCAGAGTCGGACTCGGACTCCAACTGCCGTTAGCCTCCATGGCTTTCCACTCCCTTTTTGTGGCCAACATGTGTCCGACAACCGAGATGACAAGCTGGCGATAAAGCCCAGTCCCGAAACCCGGACGAAGGCTTGGCGATATTTTTATGACTGAGGCTGTATTTTCAAAGATAAACACACTGAACAAATGCTGTCATGGATGTGCACACTTTATGCACTTGGATATGGGAGAGCCAATCAGAGAGAATCATAAAAATAATTGCAATAAAAATACATTTTTGGCACAAATTAGAATCTAAGACTGTGTCTATTCTCTAAATCTCCAAATTAATTCCAGAAACGCTTCTCACTCACTTCTTTCATATTGAAATGAAGAATGTCATTATTCTTCTTGCATTACCATATAATATATATTTTTTGCCGTGTACTGGGGACCCTCCACACCGATAAACTCCCTGGAGGCCCAGCAACATCTATGCAAATTTGTGTATTTTTTATGATGCTTAACTATTTTTAGTCGGTTTTTTTTCAGCTAGTTTCTTGTTGTTATTTAAATGCGACGCCCGCGATGTATTTTTTTTGTTATGTGTGCTAGTGTGCGTGTCGAGACTCTATTATTATTATTTTTTCGTGAGTTTGTTGTGGTCATCTGAGAGAGCAGCGGCAACAACCACAATGACAACATGTCTGGCAAGTCCCAAAAAGCATTGCCCAGGTCAGCGAACTTTTTTCCTCAGCTCTGGGGCTGCGTGAATAATATTTGCGTAGTTTATTTCGTTTGTAGTTGTATTCCCATTGTTGTGCAGCTAAATGTGTAAATTAAACATAAGATTTTTAGCCAGGGAGACTCCTTAGCGGGTCCGCATTGGTTTAAAAATATATCTGAATTCATACATATATATTTGCCAAATTATTTGATCATCTTTAGTTTGTGGGTAATGATCAGCTAATGGCTAAAGTTGATTGGGCAGTTTAACACCGGGATCTGATGGTGATTGCTAAGACTGTAAGATTTAGGCAATTGTTTGTCTATTTTAAATGTTATTAAATATATAATTATTTAAATTATAATTAACTGATTCAAAAGGTGGGATACAAGTTAGTTAATAATTAGTTTTAAAAGGCTAAGCTAATATTTGAAATATATTTCATTATGACATTATTTCATTTATTTATGTTTATTTTTTTTTTTTTCAAAAAAATAAAACCCCAAAAATTTCATTTCCAATTAAGAATTTCTCAATTTCCCCGAATTAGTCCATCAAATTAAAGTGATACCATAATTAACTGAAAGCTCATGGCTTATATGCCCAGCTCAAGAACTTAATTTCGTTTCATCTTTTGTAATTGATATGTTATGCTCACCGCCCCATCTTCTATCTTCATGAACAAAGCAAAAAAAAAAAAAAAAAACTGCTTAACGCGCCCAGCACACCTCTTAATTAAAGATCGAATCGGAGCCGATTGTGAGCTCAATTTTGAAATTCAATTAAAAACGAAAGAAGAAAATCAGACAATGTGAGAGAAAGATATATATAAATAAAAAAGAAATACAACAAAAATCTTTAACCCAAAATGCAACTTAATGCTTAGCGAATTTGTTACGCTCATTGACGCTGCCAGGCAGTTGAAAGAGTTGATGTTGGTGTTGATGTTGCTGCTGTTGCTGCTGTTGCTCTTGATTTTTCTGTTGGGCCTATTTCATATACCATCTCGCTGTGGCTTACACAGAGACAAAAACTTTGTATTACCAAAGAACATAGTTTATTATAAATTATCCCAATACTAAGATACTAAGATACTTGTTAAATTTTATGCTTAATTTTAAGCAGCAAACTAAATTTGGTTCTACTTTTAATATATCTTTTTTAATAATTGTAATTTTTGTAAGATCCGATTGCCTACATTTTATATTTAAAATTATTCTTGGGAAAAAACGTTCTTGAAAATATTATAATAAACGTTTATGAAACTATTATTAAATTAAATTATATTATAATTATTTAAATTTTTATTTTAGGTATTAAATTATTTTTAAATGAACTTCAAAATTGATCTGTTATAAGACCTACATTTCTTGGTAAAATGATACCATGATAACTGAACTTTTTTATATAAATAATTAGTGCATTACATTGACAGTATATCTTTATTATTTATAAAAATACTTTTAAGTAAACCCTCTTGTTAAAACATTCCATTACTCTTATTTCAGTGTACCCCTTGCTTGTATCTGTATCTCTATCTCTCCCACTTTGCTTTGTTTTTGGGGGAACTGCCGCTTGCCGAATGAGTAAGCGTAATTTTGCGTCATCTAACGGTACAAACAGCCGCTACTGTTGTTGTTGCCATTGTAGCTGGAGCTTTTTAATTTTTTTTTTTTTTTTTTTTGGTCTGCCATTGCCATTCCATTCTTAACGCGCCGATTGTTGTTGTATTTTAGACCATTTTTGTCAGACAAACAAACGGTTTTATGATTTATTTTTAGCCCAACCAACGGCTTGGCAACAGTAGCCGCCCCTCCCCCAAGGCCCCCTTCTTCCCCCTTTACCAAAAATATAAAAAACATTTAAGTGCTAGCTGTAAAGCGACAGAGAAAGGAGAGGAGGGAACAAAAAGTCTTTACTTCCGACTGCAGTTGGGAAGTTCGTTTTGAGGTCGGCCCACAGAGGCTTAATTGTTTTGGAATTATTCTATTTTCAAGTCATATTTTTATGTCTTTCTGATGCACGTTGCGTATACGTCATGTGGGAAGATCTGGCTTAAGGGCTGGCGACGAGTTTTAAATTTTAGAAGCTGATTGAGCATTTTGAAGATTAAAAACGATAACTGGAAATACCATTTTAAAAAGATAAAAATCGGGATTAGGCAAGCAAAGGGAACTTTTATTATAAAATTTATAATTTGAGATATATATCATGGGAGAATGTAGGTATTTTTCTTTTGTTACAATTGCCTGATATTTTAGCTTTTAATAAGAAAGTAAAAATACAACAATTCTAAATATTGTATTATTTTAATTATACTCCGTTAGTATTACTTTTATAAAACTGCAAAATTCAAAACGTAACAAAATATTAAATAAAAAATGACAATGGATTTTAATATTTTTCTTTCTATTACTATTACTATTATTTTTATTAAAAAGATGACAAAAGATTCTAGATCTTTCAGGAAATTCAGGAAGTTTAAAAATTAAATATTCAGAAGCTTACATTATTATTATTACTTTTATAATATATGTTGATGTGTCTCTCTACCAAATCATTTAAATAAACTTATGCCAAATATAATTCCCATGACTCACAATCGCAGATCAAGTTCCTAAGCTAATTGTATAGTTTTAATTGGGTTAGGGAATTGGACAAAATAAAACGAAGGTAAAGCTGGCTAGACCAGCGAGAACTTTTTCTGCAATCGTTTCTTTAACTCAGCAACGAATTCCATTCCCGTCTCTAATTAGCATTGAATCCACCTAGAGATGCCTTGTCACTGCCCATTAGTGGCATGTGAATTTTACAAATGTCATAAGTAGAGCCCTAAGGAGACGCCCCTCCCCAGAGAATCCCCTTGCCCCATCCCACCTGTCTACCGTCAATAGGCCGTCTATTTGTATTTCATAACAGGTGAGTAATATGCGAACGGATCGGAAACGATTTCGGTCAATGACTCTTGCCTGATTTGTTTATAAGCAAGAATTGAGAATATTCTTCTTATTAGCGCGGCCGTTGACTTGAGGAATTTCGGTTTGTTTGGTTTTTTGGCTGGATTTGGGTATGGATATTGGGCTAGGAGACTCATTCATTACTTACTTTTGCGAAATTGCAGCTTCAGCTAATGGACATTTTGAAAGAATTCCACAAAAATGTAGCTAATATTGTGTCCGATTTTATTTTTGCTGTTCGCTTTTGTTTGCGATAATCCTTGTTGAGTTTATTGTTTAATGAAATAATCCTTTCGGGGGTGTAATTTAAAAATCCTTTAATATTTTGCGTTTTTAATGTTAGTCTTGGATGGGTTATTTTTTGTAGTAAGTGAAATATATAAAAAGCCAACGCCAAGCAAATAGACCATTAACATTTCCATTTTAAATAATTTAATTTTAATTGCCTTAAAAAATGTGGCACAGTAAAACCAAACACCAAAAAAAGAAAAATTAAAATGCAGCAACTTAAAAGCAAACTAAAAATGCGGGTAAAAACAACGAAAATGTGGTAAATAACAAAATAAAAAGTAATATTTTTGTATACTCACAAAAACAATGGGAGGAAGACATAAAATTATGCTTAAAATAATGAACAGGGAGTAGTACGAGTAGATTGTTTGTATTATGTGGGATATATAGATCGTGGATGATAGTTCCGTGGTGGATAAGAGGTTTAATTTATATCGATTTCCAATAATTTTGGGTTTGTCTTCGCTTGTTTTATGTACAATGGGACAATAACAGATTTTCGTGCTGTTCTTTGATTTATTTTAAAATATTTACAACAGCTTTTTTGGGAGTATTGAGCATGTGGTTTATTTTATTTATTGATTTCTTGAATTTTTGTATTTCTTTTGAATTTTAACTTTTTTGTGTTTTGCGTATTTCCGTTGCTGTTGTTGTTTTGTATTGCACTGTTTATTTCTTTTACACTTTTAGCACTTTTGGTATTTGTATTTCAATTGTAATGTATTCGACAATTTCTTCAACTTTTTGTCAACCATTTTCACAATTTTTTGACCGCATTTTAACCATAGTAAAATTTGTTGTTGTTGTGGTGGTGGTGGTTCACTTATTTTTTTTTCTATTTTGTTTGCTTTCTTTTTATTTTTGTATTTTTGCTGTGGGCTTGTTCTAATTTCTGCTGCTTGCTTTTCGATTATTGCCACTTCACATGTTCGCCAGTATCTGAGAGTGTAAGCGTGTGTGTGGGATGAAGAGGAAGATATCCACGTCCACAATCGAACCGAACCGAAGAAACGGGCACGCGAAAAAACGCAGAACACGGAGAATCGCACAAATCCGAAGACGTCAACGGTAGAAAGCCAACTGTGCGCAGGCGCAACACGAAAAGAAATTTCCGAGCCAAGAAGTTCAACGGCGACGGCGACGTCGACGCAGGCAGCGGCGCAGCAACGGGGGCGAAGATACAAAAAAAGATACAAATCACGTTCGGCGAGCGCAGAGAGCAGCGCAACCAGATATCGAGCAACATGTTCGAGAGCCAACATGTTGCGGCAGGTGGTCGAGGTCAGTTTGAGATGTCAGTTCAAAGTCAGGGCTAAGTTTGTTTATGTTGCTGAAACTTGTACAGATAAAATAAAGCTGACGAGATTTTTGAAACATTATTCATCGAAAAATTGTTCTTTCTAAAGATTACTTTGAAATTAACATATTTAAAAATGGATATGATTAGGACGTTTTTTGCAAACATCACTAAACTGTCCAGTTTTAAATTTAAGTTTCATTAAAAATAAAATATGAAGGTTAAATATAGGACAAAGCTCGGATCTTTTGGTATAATAATTTTTAATGATTTAACAATACACTTTTATTAGCTGTAAATACCCTATCAATAAACTTTACATTAAAAATAAAATAATAAAATGTATACCTCCATATTTATTTTGATTTAAACATATATATATTTTTTTAATTTGCCTAAGCCTTAGTTAAAAAATCACAATCATACACTGTTCGATGCTCGACTGGCTCTCTTTCTCTCTCTGTTCATTTCTCCATCTCTCGTTCTATCTCTCTTCTGCGCGGTCGCATACAACTTGACCTACTTAACAAAAATTTAAACATTTTTTCCTGTTATTCCGCCTTGTAAACATGTTGCCAGCGATTTACAGTTCGCCGGGGCCCCGCAATTCTGCTAGCAACATGTTGCTGGTGGGTTCGGTTGTTGAGATTTTTGGAATCCCTGCGGCTCTGTTGTAGTTGTTGCATTTCCTCTTTGGCACTTGTTGCTATTGTTGTTGTTGTTGTTTTGCCTGATTGTTGTTATTGCTGCTGATGCCGCCGCTGCTGCTGTTGCTAACATTGTTGTTGTTTACTTGCAGCAGCGCCTGTGCAGTTAACGGTATCGCTTCGAAAATGAAAGCTCCGAGCAGCGCTCACAGGTTGCCGTGTTTTTTGTGTGAATTTTTGTGTTTTTGCTCACGACTTTTTGCTGATTTTTTCGTTAATTCGATACCCTCACGATGGGTATTACAATAGAGGCTAAAGTTGACCTTGTTAGGTATTTATTTGCTAAGGATAAATGTTCATAAATGGATTTTTTCTGCCTACCCAAATGCTATCAATGGTGCACATATGTAATAATAATATTTTCTACATTCCCATCGGGTTTTTATTATCATTAAAATACAAACAGTGGTTTTTAAATGTTAAAGATATTTAATTATGAATTAATTGAATTGAAATATATATATATATATATATACATATATATAACCTTTGTTAACTTTTTAGTTTATAACTATTAGTTAGCATTAAATAAATAAATAAATAAATAAATATATATAGATACTCTCTAACATGTGAGTTCGTTTCTCTTACTAGCTACATTTTATAGGGTACTCACCCCATCGGTCTCCAAGGCTTACAATATCGTATGGAGGTTAGTATCAGTGTTGGCTGGCACTGGCATTAGCATAAACAAGAGCCGCCTCATCACCCAGTGTTGACCAAATGCAACTGCGTCACTGTGATATTGGTCGGGTACTTTCCCCGTCGCCTCCGCCGTGTCCGTCTGGATTGCTGGTCATGTTTATGCCTCATGATTTGTTTTCATCTGCGGCGGCGGCGGCATCTTCTTTCCCTCTGCCTGATTTTTTTCAATGGAATTAACTTGCGTTTTTTATTTCGTAAAAGTATTTTATGTCCATGTTGTTCATTTTTTTTTTTTTTGCATATCAAATATTTTGTTTTTCTTTGCGTGCGTGACTCATGATAGTTAATAAAAATTTTATTTTGGGATTATCTTGAACTTTGTCACCTACTTGGAAGCCTAGGGAGGGGTTTCATTGCCAAGTTTGTTGCCTAAGTCTTTTGTTTGGCTCAATGGCAGGTGGTTTTCATGATTAACAATGGCGAGTAGAGGCATGGCAATACGTGTGATGGGTTCTTGAAATATGTTTGGATAATTTTGCAGTAATTAAATGCAAGAATATAAAATATTAAGCATAATTTATGAAAATAAAATTGTTGACCTATTGTTTTCTTAGGTTTTGATTGATATTTACTTAAACTTTTACAATTTACATCTAACATTCTTTGATTAACATTTACTTTTTTCATTAAGAAATAAGCAGACTTAAAATGTTTTTAAAACATATATATATTTTAGCTTTTAATTTAAATATCATGAAGTTGATACCATAAATCATAATCCCTTTTTAATGCCCATAATTCTGTCCTAATTTCCTTACATATACTGACCATTTTTGGCTCTAAATAATTGTAATATCAATCAAATGTCTGACGCAGAACCAAATGAGTTTCGGTAATTGCTTGGCGTAGAACAAAACGAAATTCAATTAATGTTCTTGCCCCTTTTCAGAAAAATCAACCATTGCCCCCAGCACCCCAAGCTCCCGCCAAGTTTCAAGTTCCAAGATCAATACCAATGCCGAGACAAGAGGCTGGATTTCGGGCCAAGGGAAAAATACAGTTAGACAAATTCTATGCACGTCAAATGTCAATCTTCTACTACAGCAACAGCAGCAACAACGATAGGGAATCAATCTTGGCATTAAAGAAGTTTCGGCAAAAGTTGTGAAGAGCGCATACAAAACTAATTGAACTTGGACAGCGTGACACTTCACCAAAAAAAAAAAAAAGAGGGGAACCAAACCAAGCTAAACCGAACAATATAGGAAAGTGCCTCTGGAGTCAAGCCATCAGTCAAGGCATTTTGTTCCAAGCAAATAAAGGCAAGCAATCAAATTCAAACGCCACAAGAGTTGGAAAAAAGAGAGAGAACGCGGGCATCGGGGGGATAGGTCAATGGGGCAACGGTAAAAAAGTAAATGAAAATAAGACTCAACCGCACATTGTGTAAATATTGACGCGCGAGGGTCAGGCCCTCAGAACAAGATTTGTGCATTTGTCAGGGGCCAGCCAACAGCTTCAGAGCGGCTCCTCTCCATCTCCATCTCCAGAAAAACACACACATTTGGGTTAGACAAACTCGGGCCCAGCCGAAAATAAATGTGACCGAAACAAAATGAAGACCTTCCGGGGATCTCGGACACACACACACTCTCGCACAATGGGTGGCCTGGCCCTCTCCTGACCGCAAAAGATCTGTAAATTAAGGTGCAAATAACAAATTGCGCAGAAGTCAAAACAATTCGCAACGCCTCCGAGCTGCACCTTTCTATTTGCCCAAAAACAAAACAAAATACGAGCTGCAAATGTGACAGAAACACAGGGGACGTCGACTGATCCTCCCGCAAACAAGTGCTCGCGGGGTGGTCGTTGTGGGAGATGTGCCGAACAGGTACGACGATAGGTAGGATTTATATACCGTCTAGTGTCGCAAATTGAATTGTTGGCTGTTTTTCGCTACTGACCAAGTGGCAGTGTCCTGGAGGGTAAATAAAGTAAACATGGCTAAATATTTGCCTTCACTTTCAGTCGAGTTTGTGTCCTCAGTCTTTTGTTTTAATAGGTAAAGCTCTAACTTGTAGTGTGTCTTTTAAGAACTTTAAGCTATTAACTCTTTTTCAAATATTTTATACTTAAATAAAAGGCTTATTTCATTCAATTTTGCTTAACATTTCAAGTATTTTATTTATAAGGAACTAATTCTATAAGTTCCAACCCCTTCAAAGTATATCCAACGATCCACTCTGATCTTTAAAACTAGAACATTTGCCAATACTTTATATATTTCCATATCTAACATCACATCTTGCTCCGATGCTATCCCATCTATTCCCATTTTAAGATCTCTCACATCCTTCTCTCTTCCCCATAACTACTTTTCGATCGCTTGTATCTTTTTGCCAAACCAAAAACTGCGAATTGATGTCAAACGTTGCATAAATTTCGCATCACATCTAACAGCAACAGTAACAACAACAACAACTGGAAGCACAAGCATCAATAATAATAATGCAAATTCGGCATGCATAATTTCGTACTTCTACCACGTTTTTTTTGTCTTCTTTCTTTTTTAAGCCAAGGTGCGGGCGTCAGTTAGCCCAGTTAGAAAGAGGGAGAAGACGGATTCTGAGATGGCGGGGCTGTCGATGCGGAGGCTTATCAACGTTAATAACACGCAAAACGACAACCTAACAAAACAACGAAACGAAAACAAACTAAACAAAAAACAATAAAAGAAAAGAAAAGGAGAGCAAGAACGAGAACAACAAAACGAGGCGGCAATAAAAATGCTAAATAAATGGCCGCATGTGTGAGAGAGGAAGCGGAGAAATGGATCTGGGAGAAATATGAATGTAGTGCAAAGTGTGGGAGGCCAGTCTGGTGGGCGGTGTGCGACGTGCACTAAAAAAAATTACTAAGATCGGGGAGAAGTTTAAATTTCATTTTAAATAAATTAATTTATGAATCTGAAAAGCAGGAAGTTTTATTTTCAAGTTTGTGTCCTAAGTCTTTTGATTTATTTTTGACATTTCATGGTTTTAAGTATATTTATTTTATATATATTTAAGAACAGTTTTAATTAACAACCTTTCTACTTTGTTTTCTGGTGGGTGGCATGTCCTGGTGGGTGGTTGAGTGGGTGGCTGACTACCCAGCTAGGCAAAGGTCAAGACGAAACGCAATTGGCAGCCGGCAAGTTGGCAACACGAACAACGCGGCAACTGCGAAAGCAACACAAACTGGCAACTGCCAACTGGCAGCTTGGCAACCGGAAGTGGGTCAACGAAAACCGGATCCGCATCGTCAAATGCAAACGCAGCTGTGTGTGGAAAGAGATAAACAACAAATGGCAACAGCAATAACGACAGCAACAACAACAACAACAACCAGCGAGCAAACAACACAAACACAAAACAAACAACAG